TTGCAACAGAAGCGTTGGGCTCAATTGTGGTCGTTAAGTCGAGGACCACCTGCACAGGCTTTCCCCTTGTCAAAGTGCACCGCGACAGAGTCAGGGACGCAGCGCTGCCAGGACATTTGCTGCAGGGTCAGGAGGGCTGAGAAAGCAGGCCGGGGGTTGACTAAACCAAAATTCAGATTTTAGCTTCTGGAGAGCTTCGCATACACGGCACAGCCTGCATTGCATGGTTTAATTCAGGGGTAGTCAACCTTGGCTCTTTTATGACTCGTGGACTTCAATTCCCAGAATTCCTGAGCCAGCTTAGCTGGCTCAGGAATTCTGGGAGTTGAAGTCCACGAGTCATAAAAGAGCCAAGGTTGACTACCCCTGGTTTAATTACACATCATGGTTAAACTATGGTCTACAGGAATGTAACCGGCCCACGCATGATGCTACGGAGCACCGAGGCTTTCTCAGGGTCCGGTTGACCCGCTGCATCAACCCACCGTTGCAAACCGGGTTTTATTGCGGCCACAACGGTGAGGCTGAGCCACGCCCGGCGAACTCAGCATCAGGAACGCGGAGCAGAAGCTGCGCGTGCGCGGAGGCGCAGCCAGGCTGATATGCGCGCGCACACCTTCCCCCCTCCCCGTCTCCTCGCCTGCGCTTGCGCGGAAGGGTTCTTCCCTCGCCCCCCCCCTCCGCTTCCCAACCTGTCTTCCTCCTTTCCATTTTGCCAGCGTAACCAACCTTGATGACCTCGTCTCGCCGCCTCCTCCTTTATGACATTGATGGGCGCGTCAGCCGCCCAATGGCCATGGGGCAAGCGCCGAAGAATCGCTCGGCAGCGGCGTCGGAAAAGAGGCGGGCTCTGCCGGGGTGGGCTTGTCNCTACCCCCCGAGATCCGGATGATTCCGGATCTCCTCACTTTCCGCCGCGCCCTCAAGACATGGCTTTTCCAGCAAGCGGGCCTGACCTAGGGAGGATTTTAGTTAGGGACGATTTTTAATATAATTTTAATTATGACACAGCTACCAATATTTGGCTTTTAATTTGGTCTTAGAGGGGTTTTTTATTTCGTTATTTATTTATTGTATTGTTATTTGTTTTTAATATGCTGTGCACCGCCCTGAGTCCTTCGGGAGAAGGGCGGTATATAAATCAAATTAATAATAATAATAATAATAAAACAGGATCACGTGACTGCGGGACTGAAAACGATCGTAAATGCAGACGGTTGGGAAGATCCTGAAGTTCAAGCAGAGACTGCAAGAGGGAGAGGCGTCTGTCAGAACTTTGAATCTGGGTTGAATGTGGCCTCCAAGTAGGCCCATTGTTGTATCTTCAAACAGTTGCCAAGCAACCAGTCGTAAATTGAGGATTACCTGTATTCCCTGGTAAGGACAGCTGCATCTGTTGACTTTAATTTCATTTCTGTTCCATTTTAATTCAGTTTGTCCCACTTTTCTATTCGTTTGTATTTTTAAAAAAAGTTCTAAAATTTACATGTGTAATTCTTCTAATTTATTGCAAAAAACATGGGCTGGTTTTTCCTTTTTTTGCCAGCCCTTTTACTTATATTATAATAATTTATTACATTTATATATTACCCGACTCAAGTTTTGTTAGTTCTTCCCCATAATATCATTTTTTTACTATAGAAGCTTCAGGAAGGTAACTTTTTTCAATTTGAGAGCTTCATTGAAAAGTGGGGGGGAAAAGTCCAGATTTTAAAGGGCAAATGCGTTTCAATTTGCACTGTGGTTTGAAAACATGAAAATAAATAAATTCACATTTCAATACAAATCAAACAAAGTTCACTCCATCCTTTTTCTCTGCCACGGCCATTCCCAACTGGCGTTGCCTAGGATGGGTGGAGGAAGGTGACTCTCAGCTAAGCTGGGTGGGCAAAAGCTGGGCCAGGTTGCCTTGAGGATCAGAATCCCACCAGGTGTGGGAACTGAGTATTCCTTACATTCCCCCCTTCTGCCCCCCCCCCCGGTATCCCCAGCATCTGTTGCTAAAATTACAGGTAATCCTTGACTTTCAGCAGTTTGTTTAGTGACCGTTCAAAGTTACAACGGCACTGAAAAATGTGACTTATGGCTGTTTTTCACCCTTACCACCTTTGCAGCATCCTCAAGGTCACATGATCAAAATTCAGATCCTTGGCAACTGATTCACATTTATGATGGTCGCAGCGTCCCGGGGGGGTCACGTCATCCCCTTTTGCGACCTTCTGACAAGCAAAATGGGGAAGCCAGTTTCACTTAACAACCGGGTTACTACCTTATCAGCTGCTGTGATTTTACTTAATACCCGTGGCCAAAAAGGTCGTAAAATGGGGCACATCTCACTTAACAAATGTCTCAGCTAACAACAGAAATTTTGGACTCAATTAAGATCGTAATTCGAGGACCACCTTTACCAGTTTTGTTCTGTTTCACAAATAACTGCCGGCATGGACTGGACAACGTTATAAAAGACTCAAAGCCATTTGTGGACATTTTAGGGGAGGGGGGGAAATTCATGACTTTTATTGTTTTATCAATGTACAAAATGCAAAGAAAAATAAAAATAGGAAACTAAGGGAAGGAAAAAGAGGGGGAAAGAAAATACGAGGTACAAGAAAGAAAAAAGTGTTGATTTCTGATTCTTTTTAGCACAGTACAAAATAACAATATTACAGCCTCGACTTTTTACTTTTACACATTAGTATATAACCAGCCATTTCTATAACAACAAATCTAATCGGCAAAACCAAAGTCAAAGTTTGATTTTTTTTTCATCATAAGCCCAAAATCCAGAAGTGATATCTAAATAAAAAAAATATTTTCCTCTTTGAATAAAGCTATCAGTTTAACCATTTCTGCTTTAATTTCCTTGCTGTGGAAATAATATATATTTCTGTTTGCACTTATAAACTATCACCATTTATATTAACAAAATTCACTATTCTTTCAGATTCTTTAATCTTAAAGGGAAAATACTATTTGTGGACCTTTTACATGTTAAATGCAGTAACAGATGGTTAACAGAGAGATTTGAAGATTAGTATAATGTTTGGGTATACCTGTTGATTGCTTTTTTTTCTATTCTTCACATATATATTATGATTAGCTGTTGAGTTGACTTGATTAGTAGATAGAGATTTCCCATCTGGAATAGTTGTTTACTTAATATAGTAATTTTTATTAAGGATGGGACAGCTTATAACTATTTGTCATTTTTTCCTGTTTTTGTACAGTTTTTTTTTCTTTTTTGTTAGTGTTAGATGTATATTTTACTGTTGTTTTGTATTTAATTCTTGTTGATAAAACAAAACACAACTAGTCCACAACTTACAACAATTGAGCCCAAAATTTCTGTTGCTATGTGAGACATTTAAGTGAGTTTTGCCCCATTTTGTGACTTTTCTTCCCACAGTTGCTAAGTGAATCACTGCAGTTGTTAATTTAGTAACACGGTTGTTAAGTGAATCTGGTTTCCCCATCAACTTTGCTTTCTAGAGGTTTGCAAAAGTTGATCACATGATCCTGGGACACTGCGACCGTCATAAATATGAGTCAGGCTGCCAAGCCTCTGAATTTTGATCATGTGATCATGGGGATGCTGCTATGTTCCTAAGTGTGAAAACCAGTCATAAGTCACTTTTTTCAGTGCCATTAGAACGGTTCACTAAGTGAACTATTGTAAGTTGAGGACTACCTATAAGTATATATATATATATATTTTAAAAAAAGGAAAAACTGCTGGTATTGTCCTTCAGCTTCGCATGTGATCACCTTTTGCAACCTTCTGACTATGTCAATGGGGAAGCCAGATTCATTTAACAACCATGTTACTAATTTTAACAATTGCCTTGCTTCACTTAACAACTGTGGCAAGAAGGGTCGTGAAATGGGGCAAAACTCACTTTGCAAATGTCTCACTTTGCAACAGAAGCGTTGGGCTCAATTGTGGTCGTAAGTCGAGGACCACCTGCACAGGCTTTCCCCTTGTCAAAGTGCACCGCGACAGAGTCAGGGACGCAGCGCTGCCAGGACATTGGCTGCAGGGTCAGGAGGACTGAGAAAGCAGGCCGGGGGTTGACTAAACCAAAATTCAGATTTTAGCTTCTGGAGAGCTTCGCATACACGGCACAGCCTGCATTGCATGGTTTAATTCAGGGGTAGTCAACCTTGGCTCTTTTATGACTCGTGGACTTCAATTCCCAGAATTCCTGAGCCAGCTTAGCTGGCTCAGGAATTCTGGGAGTTGAAGTCCACAAGTCATAAAAGAGCCAAGGTTGACTACCCCTGGTTTAATTACACATCATGGTTAAACTATGGTCTACAGGAATGTAACCGGCCCACGCATGATGCTACGGAGCACCGAGGCTTTCTCAGGGTCCGGTTGACCCGCGGCATCAACCCACCGTTGCAAACCGGGTTTTATTGCGGCTACAACGGTGAGGCTGAGCCACGCCCGGCGAACTCAGCATCAGGAACGCGGAGCAGAAGCTGCGCGTGCGCGGAGGCGCAGCCAGGCTGATATGCGCGCGCACGCCTTCCCCCTCCCCGTCTCCTCGCCTGCGCTTGCGCGGAAGGGTTCTTCCCTCGCCCCCCCCCCCTCCGCTTCCCAACCTGTCTTCCTCCTTTCCATTTTGCCAGCGTAACCAACCTTGATGACCTCGTCTCGCCGCCTCCTCCTTTATGACATTGATGGGCGCGTCAGCCGCCCAATGGCCATGGGGCAAGCGCCGAAGAATCGCTCGGCAGCGGCGTCGGAAAAGAGGCGGGCTCTGCCGGGGTGGGCTTGTCGTTTTCTGTCCCCTCCCCCTAGCATGTTCGGGTGAGGCCTTTTGGGGCGCTCGGGGCGGCGTCTCGGGCTCAGTGTGGGCGGCGGCAGCGGCCGGGGATGCGGCGGCGGCAGCGGCTCTTCTTGATGGCGTCGCCGCAGCTGCCGGGCGCGGCCGGACGGAGGTAGCCGGAGCCGCGCCGAGGCGGCCCTGGCAGGCAGGCGGGCGGGCGAGCGAGCGATGGAGGATCAGGCGGCGCAGGAGGAAGGCGAGGCCGAGATCCAGGAGCTGCACGGGCCCGAGCACTGGTTCAGCCAGTGGGAGCGGCAGTGCCTGGCCGAGGCCGAGCAGGATGACGGCAACGGCCTGGGCGGCGGCGGGGGCGGCCCGCTGCCGCCCGAACTGCAGGACGACGACGAGGCGGCCGCCGCCGCCACCCCACAGCCGGAGCCCAAGCAGCAGAAGCTCTGGCACCTCTTCCAGAACTCGGCCACCGCCGTGGCGCAGCTCTACAAGGGTGAGCGGAGGTGCCCGCACGTGTGGATGCCCAGACACGTGTCCGCGCCGGGCGCGAGACCCCCGCGGGAGGGGCTGTCTCCACCCCCCCCACCAATCTTGGGAGTGGTCGTCCGAGGCCGGGCCCGGTGCCCCCGCCGGGCGCTCGCGCAAGATGGCGGGAGGCCCCATCTTCGCCGCCGCGGCCGCCGCCGCCGCTTCTCTTTCTTCGCTCCCCGCCGGTGAAGGAGGAAGCGGCTGCCGGGGGGGGGGGCAGAGTGGATTCGCCCGTCCCCCCTCCCGTCCCTAGGGGAGGGTGGGCTCGCCCGGGCCCTTGGCCCCTCCCACCAACAAAATGGCGGGTGGGGGGGGGCGAAGACGCCAATTCGACGAGCCGGACGCCGAGTCCCCTTTTAAAGGCTCTTTCTTCCTCTCCCTCCCCCCCACCCCCCCACCCATTGGGGCAAATGGAGGATTCCGCTCTCTTCCGCCCCCCTCCCGCGGCCGACTTGGACGCTTCCAAGCGGCTTCCGTCCCGCTTGGCCCCTTCCCTCCCCCCGCCGCCCTCCCATTTCCTGCGCTTCCGTCCCGGCGGCGGCGGGTGAACAAAATGGCGAAGCGCAACATGGCCGGTCCTTTTGGGGGGGGGACGGGAGGTCACCGCGAGGCTCACTTCTCCCCTTTGCTCTCTCCCCCCCCCCGCAGACCGCGTGTGCCAGCAGCCCGGCCTCTCCCTCTGGGTGCCCTTCCAGAACGCGGCCACCGCCGTCACCAACCTCTACAAAGGTGAGCGGGGCCGGCGGGGGGAACCCGGGGTGGGTGGGTGGGTGGGGACAGCCTGGGCGGGGCTGAGGGATCTCCGCAGGGGCCACCCCGGGGTCTTGCAGGGCGGGCTGGAGGGAGGGCGAGGGGCGCCTGCAGTTCGTGGCTCTTCCCGGCTTCCGCTCCTAGTAGGTTCGGCTGAAGCCCCAGATCGGAGGCCCCTGGCCCTGGGGCTTCCTGGTGGAGCAGGGCGGAGGGAGAAGCGGGGGGGGGGCGGTGAGGGAGCCCCCAGGGAAGCCCAGCTGACTCTGCTTCAGGGGGATTCTGGGAGCCCCAGGAAACATCTGGAAGGGGCTTCTAGCGAAGCTGCCCTCTGGCCCTTGCCTGGAAGGGTCCAGCGGCTCCTGAAGGTGACCCTTCCACGTCTCCTTGGCAGCCTCCGGTGCCCAAATGTTGGGGGCCCAGCCAGATGTTCTCCAGCTGCTGAGAGAGGAGGGAAGGGTTAGGGCTGTTTTGATGCTTGGGACCTTCCTGGGCTCCAGACTGGCCGCTCTTGGTGCCAGCCGACTTCAACTTCTGTGTGTGGCTTCAGTCACCCAAGGCCAGGTGCCACTGGGCACTTCTGGCACTGAAAGAATTAAGATCACTTAAATGGTCCTCAGTAATCTTTTATGAGCCGTCTCTGGAAATGGAGAGTTGGCAGAAAATTGTGGAACTTTTGTGGTGGACCAAGAGCGCCTTTTCTGCCAGTCAAGCAGATTCAGAAGAGAGATACTGAGCTAGCCACCTTTCTCATCCTGTCAGGAGAGTATTACAGGGTAGCAGAGTTGGAAGGGACATCCAGTCATCAGTGGTATAGGAGGCCCTATATACCATTGGACTTGCATAGTGGTCCCCATCTGTCCCTTTTTAAAAAAACAATTCTGTGCTTGAGTGTTCATTTTAAGGGGCGTGGAGACCTTTGGGGTAAGTGCTTATGTGTTTGGGAGAGATTCGTGCTTTCTGGATATACATGTGTTTGTGGGCTTTCTTGTGGAGTGTGTCTTGAGGACAAAAAAGGGTTCCATTAGCTTATGTCTGCCCTTAAGCTGCCTGGATTTGCAAGAGGTTTGCACAGGATGTAGGAATAATATAGGATCCTAATTTCAGGAATAACAAAGTAGCTTAGCATGAACTACCTTTATAAGGCAGGGACTTCTGTTTTGTGTGGGGTTCTGATATTCAAGTGACATTTAAATTGAACAGATTCTACTCATATGCATAGCATGCAATATTAACCACATCTATGGTTCATTGTCCTATGTCATCATGTATTGTTGTGTACTACAAAATAGTTGATCAGTACCTTAATGGTGAATTTTTGGGATATTCAAGAAATTCTAGGTAAGCTTGACATAATCTAGCTTCTCATGGGAAAAAATGTAGTTTTTCAGGGAATAAAATGGTTGTCTTGTTTGGCTGTGATATTAGAGATACCTTTTTATATTGACTTGGTACTATTTATACTGACTTTTAGATAAGGTTAGATCTTTCAGAATAGAGCTGGAAGGGACCTTGGAGGTCTTCTAGTCCAACCCCCTGCTCAAGCAGGAGACCCTATACCATTTCAGACAAGTGGCTGTCCAGTTGTCCAATTGTCCATTTGCAACGCATCCCTTCTCTATAAACCAACATCCCACTCCCCTCCAGTGGTAATGAGCCTACTTCATGTCTTGTTATTTCTAAACGTAGAGAGAGAGTGGTAGAAATCTACTTATTTCTAACTCTGGAGTAAAGAGAGAGAAAAAAATTGTTGGATTTAAATGTTATGTTAACTTTCAATCATTTTTTTCCTGTCCTTTAACTATGAAAATATTTTTGATGGTCTAGGAAAAGACTGTCAGCTTTATAAATATTCTAGCTCTATACTAATTCATAAATCTCTGGAAAAGGACTATTCTTAGGTGGTTCACACTTCTAAAAACTCCACGAGCGCTCAGAAATTCCTTTCAGCTCATGGAGGAAAAGAGCAGACTCAAGAATATGCTACTGGCTTGACCTTAGATATCCTAAAGTGCTTCCAGTTACTCATAATAACTACACCAGCACTAACTGGCAAATGCTAGCTCAGCTAAAGACTGAGTTGCCTTGATAACAAGTTTGGTGACCCAATAAATAAAGGTAACAATATTTTTGTTGGACTTCGCCATTCCTATATCATGTAAATAACTTACTTTAGAGCAATTGATGTAATTAGATGATGCCATCTGAAGTGGCCAAATGGAATGTAGTGCTGAAAACAGCCACCTTTTAGTCATCGAGGGAGGTATTTGCCAGCTCAGCCAATAGTATTAGTCAGCTCTCTTTCTCTAATTGACACCAGCTGCCATTTTGATGGCTTATCGCTTGGCAGTTGCTGGGTCAAAGCCAGATGGGTTGTGTTCACTCTATGCATGTGCCTCTTGCTAGAAATCCAAGTAGTGCCTGGAATTAGCTGGGAAAGAATATGTAGTCTTGCAAGGAGCACAAGGGATGCTGTCTCCTAACGCTGCATTTTATAATCTTGTGAAAGTGAAGAGGAGAATCAGAGTCTTCTGTGTATCCCAACCTTACCTATATTTATAATACATCTTAGAACTGCAGGAATTACATGTCCAAAATTAGAAAATTCCACTGTGCAAGACATTGGGGCATAATTTGCTCCATAGCTAGTACAGTCCTGATATCAAAGTGTACAGATTAGTTTTTTCTTCTCCTGGTCTTAGAATCTAGTGATGTGAGAAGTCTCTCTCTCTCTCTCTCTGTGTGTGTGTGTGTGTGTGTGTGTGTGAGAGAGAGAGAGAGAGAGAGAGAGAGAGAGAGAAAGTCAGGGCAGGTAAAAAGGACTTACTCGATGGATTGATACATCAGACTAAGTGGTAATTGGTTTGTTTGAAGATTGGCATATTATATGAAATGAGTCATTTTAGTCCAATTTAAGAACAGTGGTTGTATAGTCTATGACTTACCGTATTTTTCGCTCTATAAGACGCACTTTTCCCCCCTCCCCAAAGATGGGGGAAAATGTCTGTGCATCTTATGGAGCGAATGCCGCCTGGAGCTGAAGCCTGAGTGCAGGGGAGGAGAGCATATACTGGCCGGGAAGCAAGGAGAGCCCTCCCCCAGGGACTCATTTCAGATTTACGTCGCAAAAGTTTTTCTCGCGCAGAGGAGAGAGGAAAAACAATTGCGGAACACTTGGGAATCCCTTACAAGGCACCAGGTACCTTGGTGCTTATTTCCTAATGCCTCCCCCCCCCCCCGTGTTTTCTGCTCCACCCCGAATTCTCCTCCCTTCCAGTCTCCTTAAGCAGCCATTTATGGTCTTAATACAGCCCTCAGTCTGTCTCCCTTTCCACACCCCCTAAAATTCTTCCTTCAGGCAGGCTTCCAGAGGTCGGCTGGCAGGATGCAGGTAACCCCTCCCCCCTGTCCTGCCGCCTCCCACGGTGCCGCTCCGCATCCCGCGCCTCCGTGCCTCAAGCCCCCGTGTCACAGAACTGCTGGCGTTATGCTTGGCCGGAAGACTTTTTCTTTTACAAATGGGGTGGGTGGGCCCGACATTCGTGGGCAGGCAGGACCCCGCCCGCCGAGTCGCCGCCTCTCCATCGCCCTCCGCCAGCCGGCTCCGTCGCCAGACCTCCCAGCTGACAAGCGCAGGAGTTCGGCGCTGCGGCGGCCTCCCCTCCGCCCTCCGCACCGGCCAAAGCTTTGCCTGACGTTCCAGCTGACCGGCGCAGGTCCGGGGGTCGTCAGCCTGCCCACCCCCCTTATTATATAGGTCAACCGCTTGTCCTCCCACCCCATTATAAAAACGACCAGGTTGTAGCCACAACGTGGTTCTGTCCTTTGAGCGAGCCCGCGTCAAACACGATGGAATCAGGCTCCTCAAGTCGTTTTGTTCATTTTCCAGGGTGGGTCATGAGATCAGCAGCCCAAAACTGCAATTATTCCGCTCCGGGTAAAACCGCCCCAGCGTTTCTTCCTCGGCTTCAGCGCTAAGAAACGGGCCGCTTTGTCGCCCATCTGAAAATCGAAAGGAGCCGAAGCTGCGAGGAGAGCCTGTGGCGCAAGCAGCCCAAGGCGCCCCTCCCCGTTTCCTCTGCTCTTGCCAAGCGGGCAGGCCTTCCCCCCCTCATCCAAAGAACGGCTGGGTGGGGTCGGGCGGCGGCGGCGCTGCTTCCTTCGCCGGGGGCTTTTCGGGGAGCGCTTGAGCAGCGGCTGAGAAGCAACGGGGTGATGTGGAGCCGGGGCTCGGATGGCCAAAGCAGCGCCGTTTCTCCCCGGGGTCCAAAAGGTGAGGCACCGGCTTTAGAGTGGAAAGAGGGAAGCCTCGAACGCGTGGACTTGCGTCCACACGTGCCTGCGCCAACTGATCAAAAGCTCGGCTTGGGCTGCACCCTTTCTCCTCTGAGCTTTAGGGAGCGTAAGGTTTGGTAGGCTTGCCTAGGAGCCGCCGTTAGCTTGTGCTAACATTAACTACCGGTATGTGCGTCTTATGGTCAAGTGCGTCTTATAGAGCGAAAAATACGGTAATAAGACATGTGAACCTAGCTGCTGCGACAATGGGTATGAGAGATTGCACATGCTCCCTGTTGTCATCCAACTGGCCCTTGTGGGACCAGAATATTGCCCTTGCAGTGGACTTTTAGTCTTACTTGACCGTGTTGTTCAGGTGTTTATGTGGCAGCACTATGCTTAGCAANATGCCCCCCCCCCCCCCCCCGTTTTCTGCTCCACCCCGAATTCTCTTCCCTTCCAGTCTCCTTAAGCAGCCATTTATGGTCTTAATACAGCCCTCAGGCTGTCTCCCTATCCACACCCCCTAAAATTCTTCCTTCAGGCAGGCTTCCAGAGGTCGGCTGGCAGGATGCAGGTAACCCCTCTCCCCTGTCCTGCTGCCTCCCACGGTGCCGCTCCGCATCCCGTGCCTCCGTGCCTCAAGCCCCCGTGTCACAGAACTGCTGGCGTTATGCTTGGACGGAAGACTTTTTCTTTTACAAATG